ATATTAAAAAACTTCAGATTTGACATTAATTTTGGGGATCCCTGTACAAATATGATTTGTGCAAGATTAAATTCCCAGCCTGTACAATAAAAGTTTAGCAGATCGTGAAATTATATGAAAGCTCCGTTTCTTTGTTGAAAGCGGTTTGCATTTACTGGTAAGCGGTATGTTTTTCAGAACAATGTGGTTCTCCGTGATCAACTTTCATATCAGTATTTAAGTAAGCAGGTGATTTGTGATGAAATGCATCACTTAGTTTATTATGATACGTACATGAATCAGGTGCGATATTTACTGGTCATTGGTCATGGTGGCCATTTTCGTGCTAAAAAATCATCAAAATCAAGCATTTATGGATGGATTTTGTTTAAACTTAGTGCATATGCTGGACATTATGGGACATTTATGCACGTCATTTTATTTTTCAGGTCAGATTTAAATGGCGAGTTTTAGTGCCATATCTCTGCCATGCTTTGACGAATTAAGTTCAAATTTTATATATTCATTCTACCTCATTCCAAATGGCAGCCATTTTTGTGCTAACAAATCATTAAAAATCAAGCTTTTCTGGCATCCTAGAACTGGATCTTGGCTTTTATAGATGATTTTGTTCAGACTTCGTACATGTGTTGGACATTATGGGACCTTGATGAACATCATTTTATTTTTCAGATCCAATTTAAAATGGCCAACTGAATGCAGTTCTAGGTCTCATGCCACTAATCAACCAATGGCTGCTCATTTAAATGCCTTGCAAGAACCAATGACATTTTTTTTCTCACCTGGGTCAAAGGTGAGACCAACATGTGGTCTTTTTTTTTTCTTTTTTTTTTTGATAAATACATGTATTTTTTATTACCCATAAACAAAAAAAATACAGGACTTTAATAAATACAGTAAATACTTTTGTTTACTACTTAGCGGCTGTGTACCTGTTGGTTTATTTGGATGTTCTAATCTTGGTGTTTTTCCAGTAATTTCTCTAAGTAGCAATCCAAATACAGTAGGTGTGGTGTTTACCTGAGATTTGTAAGAATTTGAGCTGGCCAACATGTTTTTTTCATGTGATTGATTACTGGCATGTTGATTTCCCATTTTTGAGCCATGTTTTCTACTTTCTTCATCATTTTCATATAGCAATCCTGTCATATGTTAGGGACGACGTCAAAAGATCGATGTCGGTTAAAAAACTTATTTCCTTTAGTTTGGGGGTGGGGGGGAGGGGGTTTGACCTCAAGAAGTTTCCATCCTACAAAAACGATTTTATTTTTTAATGAAGTCAAAAAAATCTTGGAGTATTTGTAGTTCGTTTTTTTTCTATCCAATCATGAACAGAAATAACCGAAAAGGGGAAAAAATGGTTTGTTCGAGTGTAAATCTGTGCGTCAAATGAGGTGCATTTGTAAAATCTTTTTACACCCACCCGACAACCAACTGCTATGCAATACTACTGTTCGATTATCAATTTGTATTTAAGTGTGAATGTAGTCTGACGCCATGACCAATATTTATCAATTAAGTTTCAGTGGGGGGTAGGGGGTTTTGGAAAAAAACTAAAGGAATTAAGTTTTTTTATCAGACATCGATCTTTTGACGTCGTCCCTTAACATTGTCGTCTATGGAACTTCAATTAGTGGTATGAGCCCTGAAACTAGTTCCATGCATATCTCTGCCATGCTTTGACTGATTATGTTCAAATTTTATATATTCGTTTTACATCATACCCCAGTAAATGTATTGAAAATGGCTGACTGGTGGCCATTTTGTTAGTCCCCGTTTGGACGTAATCCGAAAACGGGGACTATTAATTTGGCTTTGTTCTATTCGTCATTACAAAGTTACTTTATGATCAGAGCAAAAATGGTCGACTGGCGGTCATTTTGGATGTAAAATTTGCTATTTCTGATACCTAAACGTGTCCGCAGCAGTTTCTCTGAGATGACTGGGCCGATTTGGATCAAAGTGGGTATGATGATCATACATATTGGGTTGTAGGTGCACATAATTTGTTTGTGTGATTCGAACAAATATGGCCGACTGGCGGCCATCTTGTTTTTTCATGGTACCCATGCTACTTTCTCTTTAATGCAATGAATGTTTCTGTTTAAATTTTGTACAAAGAAAGTATACCAAGGGATACATTTGCACCAACATGATTTTTGTGATTCAATTCAATATGGCTGGCCGACTCCCAATTTTCATGTAAAAGCGCTAAATCGTCATTTTTACATGTCTGCAGCAGTTTCTCTGAGATGACAGGGCCTATTTGGATCAGGGTGGGTATGATGATCATACATATTGGGCTATAGGTGCACGTATTTTTTTTCGTGATTCGAACAAATATGGCTGATTGGTGGCCATTTTGTTTTTCATGATACCCATGCTACTTTCCCATGAATGCAATGAACATTTTTGTTTAAATTTTAAAAGACGGTATACCAATAGATACATCAACATAAACATAATTTTTGTAATTTGATTCAATATGACTGCCCAATGTCCAATTCGCGTGTAAAAGCACTAAATCATATTAATGTTTTCAATCTAATCTCAATGACTTCATCAGCATCAAATTGATATGTCAGATCACAAAATTTTGGACAGGGACTGTGTCATTAACAATGACTTGTTTTAATTAATGCTGTTCCAGAGCAATATTTCTCAATATGGACAAGTACTCGTTTGGTGATCAGATACAAGATGTCAATCATTTTAATGTTAAAAAATCATCATAATCAAGCATCTTCTGGATCCATACTTCTGACATGTTTATGTTCCAACTATATTACTATTTATAAGTAATAGATCAGGCTGTGATCTTTCCTTGTGCAATGCTGTCTTTAGGAATTGTTTTAAATTTGGTCTTTTCATATAACAATCAATGATTTTATTTCTTATAACAGCCATCAATGTTGTGATTGTGAAAGTGTTTTGATACTGCGCAACAAAAATCATGGACGTAATAGTCAATGATAATGAGATTATGTAATCCGGTGCTAGTTCATAGGTCGGCCTAAATGTTTAGGTTCTTGTTCACACGCAAAATTAAGTCAAGCCTAAAATTAGGGTAAAGCTTGCCATATTTTCTACCTACTTTTGCAAAAAGCTTATAATAAATAAATTATGCGTCTTTTAAAAAAACGAACATTCACAGTATATTTGATGTATCTGCTTTATTGGTTTACCTCAAAGTAGCAGTACTAAATAAACTTGTAATTAATATTGCACATTTAAAATTGTCATACTTGCATTTACAGTATTATAAACATTAATTATAGGAATCCATAGGATTGCCCATATAACCAGAAACCAGAGTGATTACCTTGAAATCACGATTTTACAAGTCATATGATTAGTTCATTCAGTTACCAGCTATGAGAAAACCATTCTTATCAAAACATTAGCACCTGAATGTAAAACCAATGTGGGTATATTAGGGTGGAAAGAGTTGTGCAACTGATTGTATTACCAATGTGGGTATATTAGGGTGGAAAGAGTTGTGCACCTGATTGTAATACCAATGTGGGTATATTAGGGTAGAAAGGGTTGTGCATCTGATTGTAATACCAATGTGGGTATATTAGGGTAGAAAGGGTTGTGCATCTGATTGTAATACCAATGTGGGTATATTAGGGTTGAAGGGGTTGAGCACTTGATTGTTATACCTATGTGGGTATATTAGGGTGGAAGGGTCAAGCACCTGATTGTAATACCTATGTGGGTATATTAGGGGTCGAGCACCTGATTGTTATACCTATGTGGGTATATTAGGGTGGAAGGGGTCAAGCACCTGATTGTAATACCAATGTGGATATATTAGGGTGGAAAGGGTTGTGCACCTGAATGTAATACCAATGTGGGTATATTAGGGTGGAAAGAGTTGTGCACCTGAATGTAATACTAATGTGGATATATTAGGGTGGAAAGAGTTGTGCACCTGATTGTAATACCAATGTGGGTGTATTAGGGTGGAAAGAGTTGTGCAACTGATTGTAATACCAATGTGGGTATATTAGGGTTGAAGGGGTCAAGCACCTGATTGTTGTACCTATGTGGGTATATTAGGGTGGAAGGGGTCAAGCACCTGAATGTAATACCTATGTGGGTATATTAGGGGCCGAGCACCTGATTGTTATACCTATGTGGGTGTATTAGGGTGGAAGGGGTCAAGCACCTGAATGTAATACCAATGTGGGTATATTAGGGTGGAAAGAGTTGTGCACCTGAGTGTAATACCAATGTGGGTAATAATAGGGTGGAAAGAGTTGTGCACCTGAATGTAATACCAATGTGGGTACATTAGGGGGGAAAGAGTTGTGCACCTGAGTGTAATACCAATGTGTGTATATTAGGGGGGGGAAGAGTTGTGCACCTGAGTGTAATACCAATGTGGGTATATTAGGGTGGAAAGAGTTGTGCACCTGAGTGTAATACCAATGTGGGTATATTAGGGTGGAAAGAGTTGTGCAACAGATTGTAATACCAATGTGTGTATATTAGGGGGGAAAGAGTTGTGCACCTGATTGTAATACCAATGTGGGTATATAAGGGTGGAAAGAGTTGTGCACCTGAATGTAATACTAATGTGGATATAATAGGGTGGAAAGAGTTGTGCACCTGATTGTAATACCAATGTGGATATATCATGGTGGAAAGGGTCAAGCATCTGATTGTAATGTACCATTTGCATAATAAGAATGTAACATAAATAACACCCTATTAAATGGATTCATGTTCCATGAAAATGATATCAAGTCAATTAATAAAAATAAATAATTACAAAATTAAATCTGTTTCAGTGGTCTGTCCTACAATGCAGAAAAGATTTTTAAAAGTCATGCACAACCTAATTAATTTTGTTAAAATGGTTGGCTACACTATTGTATCATTGTAATGATTAATTCATCATTGTAGTGGCTACTTCATCATTGTAGTGGCTACTTCATCATTGTAGTGGCTACTTCATCATTAGTGATTATTTCCTTGTTGTGTAGTGACAATCATGTCTTGTATTTAGATTTGTATGATCCTTCCATGGCTACGAGTTTCTTGTAGAACTGTGATGGTACATGATCATCAAACTTTATCTGAAATAAAAAAGTCTGTTAAATAAAATGGTTGCTTGGTGGCTATCTTTGATTTAGACTGTGCCATAATCAACATTGTATGTATTGAATAAGAAATGTATATACATAACAACCACTGTCAGTCAACGATAAGTATATGACAGAATCAGTCAATCCAGTGATATCATTTTATGTCTGAGTTCAAAACAATATAATGCAGTTAAAGGATTGTCTTTGAAACAAATCAAGGGGTTATAGTGTTAGGTACCTAGTATGTATGCCAATTTCAAACTAAATTATTTTTTTAGCTAAGCAGTAGGCCAAACAGATGGGCAGAGGGCCGAACAGTTGGGCAGGATGGCAAAATAGATTGACAAAAGGATGACTAAATAAATGGGCAGAATAGCTAAACACATGGGCAGGACAGCAAAAAAAGATGTACAGAGGGATAACAAATAGATGGGTGGAGGAAGAGCCAAACATATGGGCAAAATGGCCAAACAAATCAGCAGAAAAATGGCCAAACAGATGAAAAGAAGAACAAGCGACATACCAACCGAATAGCTCCGCTGTTTCAGCAGAGCCTTGAGTGTTATATCACAAAAGAAACTTCCGGTAATCTAATAGAGGCCATTCAAGGTACACATACATGCATATCAAGTATTAAAGCAATTGGAATAGCAGTTTTCAAGAAGAAATCAACAATGACAATGAGACAAATAAATCAGATTTACTGTCAACATAATCAGGTTCGACCATGTACCTACCTTTTCAGGCAAAACGTAATTATTACCACATATTGATGTTCTACTGTGATAGATACTTTCAGAATCTGCTCTCTCTGCATTTTCACTGAACATCCAAAACTATAAAAAAAAGATAATTTTTAAAAATTGTATAAGTGTAGATTTGGAAAATTACTGCAGAGGTCCAGCAGTGATAGCAGAAGTCTGACATTGGTCCAAGGGCAGCACAGGTGGAACAGGATTTCAAGCAGGTGTTCAATAAGCAGCAGTGAATGGAACGAAGCAGCAGGGGTGCAACAAAGGGTAGTAGAGGGAAACAAAGACAGGAGTACAGCAAGGGGAAGCAGTGGGGGACATACAGAAGGAGTAAAGCAGGAGACAGCCGAAATGCAACAAGTGAGCAGAAGGGGGCAGCAGTGGTCCAGTGGAAGTCCAACAAGGTCAAGCAGGAGAGCAGCAGGGAAGCAGTATTTATATTCAAAATGATTAAAATGCTGGTATGGATGTGTGCCGGATTTACACATACATACATACAAAAACAATGTTTTTATTTTACAATAAATCACACAGAACAATATTTAAACATCCAAATTTGAATAACTATGACTTACCAGACTCTCTGCACCATTATATGGACTCAATGTAAAATTGGCTGATAAAAGACGAAACTGAAATGACACAGAAATAAAGTCAATTCTATATTACAAACGACTCGTATTGAGATTGAAGTTAATATTATGAGGTTATTAGGAGAACACCTCAAAGTATGCATGAAGACAGTACAGCTGGAGTACAGCTGGTCGATGCACGGCGTACTTTCTGAGTGCATACTTTGAGGTATTCTCATAATAACCTTATTATTATACATCTTTTCCTTCCAAGGAATGTCGAAATCCAAAATGTTTAGAACAGAATCAGCGAACTTCTTTGTATGGAGTCCGGTCAAATCCTGGTGGCAGCCATGTTTGTTTTTATTATTAGAGGACGCTTACATGCATAATAATCTTATATTTGGAATTCACATTTCCTAATATGATAGGATGGAAATACCCAGTAAAATACCGCAAAATTATGGCACGCTGTAACTTATGGCGTTACGATGACAGATGTATAATAATAATATGAATCACATGTATCATGCAGTAGCAGTGAAATAAAGCCATGTAATATTTTTCCATACTACATCCTCTGAGCAGTAAATCTTATTTGTTCTTGCATTCAATTTAAAAAAATTGTCACCAACTAATCATGGAAATGCCAATTGAAAACATAGTTTGTTTAATGACTAGACAAATTATTTTTGAAGAAAATGTTTTTGCTCTATACCAATAGTTTTATGCATTCACCAATATGTTTTTTTATTTTAAATTGAGGATTTCCCCTAACCTTCAATGGCTGAACCACCACTACAGCTTGATCATTTTCTGTCAAGATAGAACTCGCTCACAATTTAGTTAAAATGTTGACAATGTATCTCCATAACTGTAAATACATTTAATGGTTCCAAAAATTGATTATTTGTTTAATAGCAAAATAAACTGGTCACAATGTACATTCCACAAACTGTGTTGCTGTATGCAAATGTGTTGAGATTATTAGAA